TTTAATATCACCAACCATTCCCATTTTATTACGGTGTATCCATATAAATGGCCCACCCTGTAGGTGGACAGGTCTAGAAAGTCTGTTGGTGGCTGTCGAAAATATTCAATCCTTCATCATCTCAGTAGATGATTCACTCGACATATGGCTTGAGGTTCATACTGACTTAAACTGACAAAAACTTTGTAACTTCACTGACAGGGATTTACATTTCCTATTTATGTCCAGTTATTTCAGTTAGACACAGATGTGTTCTAGTCAAGATATAAAAGCATCTCAAGTGTCATTGATAGAAGTGGGACGCACCAGAGCTCAATAGTGTGTGTCATAACAAAGAGCCTGAAGAACAAAGAGCATAACAAAGAGCCTTTTTAACACTTTGATTAATAATTGAAAACATCTATAATAAAATCCTCTGGTGATGTTTGTCTTTCTTTTTCTTAAACTAAGTTTTTTTAATCTAATATAAGCATCAAGAGAACACTAAATGGCTAAAAGACACTAAAGATGTAGAAACATACCTATGGGTGATTTCATTTTCTTGTAACCAATTTTACATTTTCCCATTTTAAAAAAGCAATTTAATAGCACTCTAAATGAGACTAGAAGGGGTTGGGCGGCAAAGTGAAATGCAGAAGAATCCAACTGATCTGCCTTTCCAGCCACTGTGTCATTGGCTCCCTGTCTGTACCTGGAGAAAACTTTATGGTCCATTTTACTCAGCACAGCCAGCACTGTCTGGCCCCAGGACGGCAGTGTAATGGAGATGTAAAAATGTTACATAAAAAGGCTGTTAGAAAATGTATGAGGGCCATAAAGTCATTCTGCATACCATTAAAAGGGCAATACAGAGCCAATGTTTTATCGATGCATATTGTCCTGCTACAGTAACTTGTGAGTCCCGGGGTGCCGGTACTGATGGCCTTGGTCTTTACAGTTACAACCCTGGACTTGCTGGGGAAATTACTGCCAATTGTATCGTGCTGGCAGAAAATATGAATGCAGGCTGCTCTTTTTAGTACAAGGAATACGACCACGCCTGAATGCCAATGACATGCATTTGTGCCAATCAAAACAACTTTACTGCTCTTTTCAATAATAACTGTTTGATAAATTTGATGACTGCAGACAGCAGTCTTTCTTTTAAGGAGGTATGATATGTACAACATAGTCGTACAGAATATTGTTGGAATTTTCTCAAATTAATTCACTTAGGGAGCTTGTTGATCTTTGTAGAACTTTTATAGAACTCTAAAATGTTATTTATTTTTTTACTTAACTTGATTTTCTGTTTCTTTTTTTTTATTTTGGTTTTTCAATCTGGATGACGCTGAATAAGGAAGATCTTTGGTTTTAAGTCTCACTTTCATTTCACATGGCAGTGTGTTTGCACAAATGTATTCCTCGCTGTCATCTTTGGCTGTAGCTCAGGCGGAAGAGCAGGTCATCTACTGCTTAGAAGGTTGGTGGTTCGATTCCTGGCTTCCCCTAGTCTGCATGCCAAATATTCTTGGGCAAGATACTAACCCCAAATTGCTCTCCGATGCATCCATCGGAGTATGAATGTGGGTGCGAATGTTAGTTAGAAAGCATTAAGAAAATGTGCTTGCGTGAATGGGTGTGAATGCACAAGTTGTGTAAAGCGCTTTGAGTGCGCAGAAGAGTAGAAAAGCACTATAAAAGAACCAGTCCATTTACCATCTTTCTAATTTGTGGCTTTTTCAGTCTGTTATTTCTGATATGTTCATCTTTAATTTCCCTCTCTTTTCACAGACTACACTAACTTTGTGGCTCCCCTACAGTCACAAGCGATTTTCATTGCTGGTCCCAAGACACCAGATCACTGCTTGCTTACATTCAGTGAGCATCCTATATCAAACTTCCCTTCAACACCCCTTCAACAGCTGGAATAAAAACCAACGTACTTGTGGATCCATAAGTAAGTGAAAGACTCTTTAGCATGTATATTTTAATCTTGTAGTAAAGCTTTTTCTTTTCTTTTTTTTATGTCACTTATGTCACACTACAGTAAAACTACAACAGCAAAGCCAATGATTTCCTGGGGATTGCGTTGAATTCTTTCACATTTGCAGCTGCTGATTGCACAATTGCAAGCATTTGGTTTTGGTTTGGTTTTCTGGCTCTGAATGTAAGATTTGTTAATTTGATGGTTTGTCACAGTTAATCGCTACCAGATAAAGAAACTTCAAAATGATCACCAGAGTGATTCCATTTCAGAAACATAAACAGGTAAAAACAGAGGCTTCAGTCCTGACAGTTCATCACTGCTTTTGCTACTTGTTGAAGTTCAGGTTCTGGCCGCTGGGCTGGGGTTGGCATGGACTCAACTATAAAATCACTCTGGGTTCTTGGCTAGCTTTCTGTTAGCATGCTGTCTGTGCAGATACTTGCAAAGACCAGCAGTTGTGTTAGCATTAATCAGGTAGTTCTCTTTCAAACATTCGTTAGCTGTCTCGCCATTCCAAGCCAGCTATACCAAGCTTCCCTAACATGGCATGACTGCTGCCCAGCTGCCCAGAATTCCACCCCTGCGGTAGAAAAATCTCAGGTTCAGATACACATGATGATTGTGTGATGTTCAACATGCCTAAGCGGCTGTTTCCACACCGGGTTCATGCGAACACTGCGCTCGCTTTACCCTGAAAAGCCTTTGTCAAAGGCTAGCCCACCAGGCTAGCCTGTCGAAGAAGAACTCAATGCTGTCTCCAGTCGTTGCACCAATGGAGCACATTGAGTTGGCCACGCAAGGCACCAGGACATCGTCCTCCTACTGGTGGACGATGCCGAGGTCAGCTGCAAAAGCTATGTTGTCCTTTTCCCCCAAGGCTAACAGTGAGCCACACCGTGAATTCTCTGAGGGAGCATTGGAGCATCTCATTTCGGACAAGGATGAAAACATTTTATTTGGCCCCTCTGGTTGGAATTCTGCAACACAAGGGGCCAATTGTGAGAACCTTGGCACACAGTCCCGCGGCATGGAGCTACATTGTAAAACTGGCAGCTGAAAAGCTGGCAATCCCATGGCCCACTTCCTCCAAACACGAACTGAAATCAGTTGATTGCAACAGAAGGAAAAAAAACCATATTTGCTTGATGTTTAATTTTCTTTCTATCCCCTGCGTGTGCACATAACTGAAGAACCCTTGCAATGCAAATTATAATGTGATTACAGTAACGTACTCCCTTGTAACGCATTAATCCCAACACTGGCTGCATTATCACAAACATTTAGCTAATTTCCAACTTGACGCTAATTTGAAATGTAATGAAGCATCATAACTTATAAGTACCAGAGAAAGTTTACCCAAAGTTTTTAACGGGGCAGAAATTAGATATCCTAGTGGCAAACTTCAAAATATATAAGCCGATAAAGCATCGCTGAGACAACTGCTCTTAGCTGGTATTTCAGGCCAAATAACTCTCTGTCTGATTTGGATTAATCTCACACTCCAATGCTTTCTTCAAAAAGAAACATCTGATCAATATCCCACTTTCCTGCTGCAACAGTGCACCGTCTCATTCTGGCTCCTGAGCACATAAAAGAGTCATTAAGATGCCAAAAATATTTGTCACACTGTAATGCAGGCTAATCATAAACAGATGGGAGAAGAGCGTGGGGATTTTTTTTTGTATGAACGGTATGAATGGTCAGAAATGTTTCATACTTTGTGTTTGTGTCATAACTTGGCATATATTAGCCAAATTAATCTACACACTTAATTGCTATGTGTGCTAAATACTTAGGGGAGGTTTTGAGATGTGTAGAAGGCACAATGTGTGGATGTTAAAGAGAATTTTTAAGTCTTATTTGTATAGTTTTGCTCATCCTTCTTATCAGTTGTTACAACACCATAGCCACTAAGTTTATTGCTGATATCACCACCTTTACAGCTTTGCTAATCTTTGATATGATTCCAATGGAGTTGTTTAGAGGATTTCGACAAACTGCTGGTAACAATGTAGCTTTGTTTCTAGATCTCAGCTTTTACTTAAGTATATTGTTGTTTTGTTACAAATAAAGGTTCTTCCAGACAGTGAATGATTACTGCTGGAATCAGCAGGATGCAACTTTGGCACGGGAACTCCTGGCTACTTCCTGTCCTACGAGCCTATAAAACACAGACTGCTGCTGTCAAACTACTGCTCTGCATGCTGTTAAACAGAGCAGATTATAGTGTGGAGTAGAGGAATTAAGCATAGAGATATAACTAATATATGCCTTGCCTACTGTTGTAAAATAATGAATCTTGTTTATAGATCCAGATGGGTAACAGTAACAGACTTGATGCTGATATTGCAAGCCTCTGTTATTGATCTGTCTGGCCTCTGCTGGCAAAGTTTTTATCATTCATTGAACCTCAGATACAGTAAAATTTCTCCAGGGGGTCAGAGACACGATTATGGATCTCCAGCTGCATTGTTGTAAAGAGTGAGAGAGAGAAGCTGAAAAAGTTTAGCTGTCATGTCTGAATGCAGAGACAAAGCCAGCGTGCATTAATGAGACTGGCTGCTGTTCTTCTCTTTGTTAACTCTCACCTGAGGAGCACAGTTGTGGTAGAAATATTCAGAGTAAAAACAATGGAAGCACAGGAAACTGTGCAATAGGATCAGTCCAGCAAAAATTGCAAAACTAATTCACTGAAATTAAGAAAGAGGTTAAACTAATGGAAGAGGAGATTTTTCTGCGTTCCCTACTAACCAAACTCCACTTTCAGCGTTTACTGTTCGAGTTCACTGAACAGCCAGTGCACATGTTACTCATGTTACTCATGTTGTGACTGTATTTTCCGTATTGTATTGCTCCCACGTTTATAAAGCCAGTTGCATTTCCAGTGCTCCTGTATTTTCTGGAATATCAAATGTATTTTATAGAATTACAATTTATTAAATTGATGAAATTTCATGGAAAATGACTGTTATGTCAATGATTTGATAAGTATCTGATGATAAGTGTAATTTTGTATTATTCGATTAGTAATTGTGGAATTCCACAGGGTGGTGTGCTGGGACCAATAATATTTACATTATACATGTTTCCCTTA